TGGGGGGAGATGGGCGGGGACAAGTTTAATAAATAAATAAATAAATAAATAAATAAATAAAATATACCAAAAAAGAAATTAAACTCTATAAAACTATGGTATCCATAGCACTATGTAACCCAGGTAATAGGTGCTATTAAAATTCCAGATTTATATGCATTAACTATGAAAGATGTTACATTCTCAGAGGTTCATATCCTTTTGAATTATATCCCTATCACATGGAAATTGACATCATCTGAAAGAAAGTAGATTCTCCATGCTCTGCTTTTAGCAAAAATACTTCTTCTTCACCATTGGTTGAAGGTTAAACATATGAGCCTAACTACTCAATGGTTTGCAGTATTGATATCATTAACATACAAAAAAATTGCTTATTGACATAGTTTAGCTATGGATTTTATAACAACATATGACTACCATTTATTGAAATATTTATGGACACGAATTCATATGCCCTGTATGTTGTTTCTTTTTTCCTAGTTTTCTTTTGCTTTCTTGTTTTATAACTTTGAGTACAGGTTTTTTTTTTATTGTTAATCATAAAAGCAAAAGAAAGTCCATGTTTACTGTTTGGATATTAAAAGTACAGGGCACATAGTGGTGAGTAATAAAGAACAGCAAACTCTGCAGTTCTAGATAACTTGGCTTCTCTAGTGTATCCACAATTCTCAACAGCCTTAGCAAAGTACAATTCCTTCCCAAGGCAGTCCGTAACGACTCCAATGAAAGAAAATTAGGGTAAGTTACTAGAATAGACTGCAATCCTATTCATGTCTACCAAGAAGCATGAATAAATAGTGGTCTGGATTCAAAAGGGAAAAGGTGTTTCAGAGCACCCCATAGGCTGACAGCTACTTAAAGCAGCTGCATTTTTGCCTCGGATTGCACAGCTGCCCTCTGCGGCTGCAGCACAAATCCTGGAAAAGATGCATTTGGCTTAAGAGTTGCTACCAGCTGCATACTGTATGCACTCATGCACCAAAGCACCTTTTCCTGAAGGTGTTTTGGATTCCTATCTTCAAATCAAAATACCGCACACCATAATGCATAGGAATATATACTATAGGATTGTAGCTTGGTTCTCTCAGACAGCAAACACCATATCGTCAAATCAATGATTCAAATTAAATTCTAAATGTTTTTATGATCCATGCTTATTCTGTGACTTATGATGGAGTGAATGAGAAGAAAGGAACTTCGTGAAGAGGTTTTCTTTTTGTCTTTTTCATCTAGCTTCAGTCTGAGTTGAAGGTGTAATTAAGGAACCAATGAATCTAATTAACATATCTAGCTCACACTGTTCCAGAATCTTAGGAAGAGTGGCAGCTAAAATTATATATTCAAAGCATCTATCCACTTAAATTAATAAAATCAGTTATTAATGCTAAACCACTTCATGGCTGTTGGTGTAAAACCCCAGTTATTGCATGCATCTCAAGCCACATTAAGTTTTCAAAAGATGCTTTAGTAGGATTCTCAACAATGGGGTCCTCCATATTTTTGTGGTGTTTAAGCTCTGTACGGTTTCTTTGAAAAATGGATTTAGTATCCAGGTTTGTGCTTCATCTATGGTCAAAGGAAAATGCACACTGCCTGCTATATAACCAAATTACTGCTATTGCTGGCCCCTGTGCTATCTGTGTCAGTTATCATTATATGATAAAGAAGATCGGATGAAGCAGCTCCAACAATTTGTAAAAAGGGATAGCTCTATTCAAGGAAGTGTTGGCACTGTGAGCCATGAGTTTCAGTGGGAGGGAGCTAAAGAGCATCTAATTTGCCCAATGGGAGACAAACATGAGATGCAGACTCTAGGGCAGTGTTTCTCAACCTTGGCAACTTTAAGATGCGTGGACTTCAACTCCCAGAATTCCCCAGCCATTTCAATTCTGGGACCTGAAGTCCTTGCATCTTAAAGTTGCCAGAGTTGAAAAACACTGCCCCAGGGAAACATGTCACAAGCAGTAAATGACATACACATCTGACTTTCCATAGGACTCCCCTCTGTCTGCCATCAGCCAACTTTAATCCCATGCAGCAGCTGTCTGTCCCTTAAATAGTTTGATGGTTACAAATGGAACAGTGCACATAAATAAAATACTCCATTATCCTCCAACACATCATTCCATAATCTATATTCTTTAAAGAAGTAAACATTGGCTATGCTAAATTCAAATTTGATCCTGCAGTGTGTTTCAGGTCTCCCATGCTAATTTTAATTTAACAGAGGGGTGCAAGACATGTTGAGAGACAGTGACCCAGTCATCTAAGGGGATTCCTGAGACTCAAAGACTGGCCATTTAATATCCTTGCCTTCAATTTGTTTGTTTGTTTGTTCGTTGGTTTATGCATACCATTTATAGGCTGCATTACTCCAATTATTCTGGGCGGCTTACAATTATTATTTAAAAAAAAAAGTACAAAAGACAAAAAAGCACCTCAAAAACAACATATAACCCACCCACCCCCAAACCCCCATCCAGCAGGGGCTGAACCTTCACTCTGTACCAAAGCCTGGGATAAAAGCCAGGTCTTTAATATCTTCCTGGACATCATCAGGGTGGGAGCCATCCTGATCTCTATACAAATCATTACACTGTACTAGCTGCCTAAAGCTGCAATGGCAACAGGAAAGATGCAAAGGCCTCCTGCCAAAACCAAAATTCTCTGCCAACCAATTTTTGGAGGAAATAGAAGCAACATTAGACCACGCTGCCACCACCAATCCTCTTACGTAGTTGTACGTATTCTGTATATTAACCTGTGCAGAGAAGAAAACAATTGCTTAATGACCCAATTTTATGGGTAAGTCTAAATGTTTGCAAGGAAAACTAATTGCATTCTAATAGTGTTTTGCCCTCCTCTGGTCAAAAAAATTCTTCAGGTGAACCTATGGAAATGCTGGGCAACTAATGCCAATCCCAGGGCCAGATGCATTCACCTTTCAGGATGGATTTGGTCACTGGGTGGGAGTTTAGAAAGAGGGAAGCATTGATTTGACCAGAGAAAACAGGATGCAGCATTGCCACGGTGATTGGTTTCACACAACATATCAAGCCCAGATCAACTAAACCACATTACACATGTTATATAAACCCAGTCATTATGGTTTTAGTTTATAGATTTGGTGCTGTAACTTGGCCAATTATGATTCATCCTATCAAGTATGGTTAACTGAACTCTGGCTTGTACACTATGCCTAATGGATTGAAGAGAAGTGCAAAGAACAATCCTTTTTTTGCTCCAGATAAGCAGGACCCCGTCGGTCAAGATGGCAAGGAAGCAGGAGAAGCTTCCTGAGAGCGGAAATAAGTAACAACACAACTGCACTGGCAGGTAGCAGATATACTTTGCTGGAGGGATTTGTACCAAGACAGGACAGTTTACTACTAGATTCATGCAGTTATAGATCATACATGGCACAGAAAGTTGGACTGTATCAGGATCAGGGATGAACATCTTCCGTGTTGCATGTAACTCTTGGCATTGACTTTGTATTCCAAAAAACTTCAGATTATACCCAGACATAA